CATCAGAACATGTGAGCAGAACTTAGTGGACTCTGGTCTCCTCCATCAGAACATGTGAGCAGAACTTAATGGACTCTGGTCTCCTCCATCAGAACATGTGAGCAGAACTTAGTGGACTCTGGTCTCCTCCATCAGAACATGTGAGCAGAACTTAGTGGACTCTGGTCTCCTCCATCAGAACACGTGAGCAGAACTTAGTGGACTCTGGTCTCCATGCTGAGGAGGACTGAGTCTGTCAGCAGATGAAGACTGAAGGAACCAGAGATGGACTCACTTTAGTTCCTGCTGTGGATCCTGAACGTAGACAAAGTAATCTGATTACTGTGAGGGGATACAGTTGAGAGTCATTCAACATTTTCTGCTGACGTGAGCTCAGACTCAGAACCAGAGTTTCTCGAGTCTCCTCTGAACCCTGTGACGGGTTAATTAGTGGGTTTGCTGACGACATGTTTAATGAAGCTCCAGCTGCTAATGCATGAACACCATCAGTGATCTTCGTACCTCCTCGTGACATTCCTCGTCCATGACGACTGACTTCTGTGTTTCTCTCCAGGGTGCCCATTATCTTAGTCGGGAACAAGAAGGACTTGCACATGGAGAGGTAAGATGTTCCTCCAAACCCTCCTCTAGCTCTAAAGGTGTCTGCAGCCACGACGTCAGCAGACTGTTGTCCTGAACTTAGTCTTCTGCTGAGCGTTCTGGATGCGTCCAGAACCTGGATCACGATGAACCAACGTGTTCAAAACCTGAGTGTGGGATCTGGACGCTCTATGAGCTGGTCTCCAGTCAGTCAAAGGGATCCGTTCGCTGAGTTTCTCTTTAGAATACTTGAAGCTTGCGGTCAACCCCTGACGGTACCGGTCCAGACTGGGCCAAACATCCGGTGATGTTCTCTGGGACTGAGCAGCTCACTGATGAACTGAATCTGCAGCTCAGTTGTGATCGATAAGAAACGATAAATGTCCTCCAAGTGTTCAGAAGATGAGCCTGAGAGCTTGTTAGAAGGTGGCGCCGTGTGCAGCCACCAGGAGCTCACTGCCGTATAGAGACCAGGAGCCGCACACGATCCACTTCCTGATCCGATTACCGCCCAGAGGAACGGCCGCTGCAGCAGAAAGCGAGAAGGAGGGATGATGGAGGGAATGAGAGAGGGACAGAGATGAAGGAGAGAACAAGCTTAACCCTCTGAGCCCCAGAACGACGGCGTCCATCAGCCACGGCCTGTAGAAACCAGAAGAGTGGTTGGACTTTCAGCTTTCCCACTGTCCCTGAATGCATCCTGCGGCGTGCAGCAGGGACGGACCGGCTATCACGGCCGATATTTGGCATAGTTCCGATTATCCGTATCGGATTATTGATACTTTAGAGACACACAAACCGAGAAGTTAGCAGCTAAGGCTACGCTAACAGCTAGCAGTTAAGTTAGCATTGAGAACCTGAAGCAGCGTCCGAGAACGATGACTAATAATGTTCTAAGATCTGGACCTCAGTGGGCAATAAAAGATGTAGAACAGAGAAATATTCAGGAACCGGACCACGCAGCAGACATCCTGAACTCCGGCCGACCGCCGCGCTGTCGTCTTCACACCGTCTCTGGTCTGGTTCGGCTCTGCTCAGTCAGGTTCACCTTTAGCTCCGGATCCGGCCACTGGCAGAACCGCTGACTTCTTCAGAGAGCAGCTTCTGAAATTTGTCAAACTGTCATTGAGTAGTGATCCAGCTAAAGTCCAAAACTGTTGTTGTTGTTGTTGTTGTGCAGAGTGATCAGCTTCGAGGAGGGCAAAGCTCTGGCCGAGTCGTGGAACGCTGCCTTCCTCGAGTCTTCAGCCAAAGAAAACCAGGTGAGACCAGAAACACCAACGAGCAGCGACACAACCACAACCTTGTGTTATATGCTAACATTAGCTGTAGCAGCTAAGCTATCCTCAGCAACTCATGTTATTTTGTTTAGGCTAACATTAGCTTGTGTACGCTAACATAGCACATATTTTATTTATAACCTTTAGGCAAATATAGCAGCTAACACTGTCCTAGTTAAGCTAAAGTAGCGGCTAACATTGTCCTAGTTAAGCTAAAGTAGCGGCTAACACTGTCCTAGTTAAGCTAAAGTAGCGGCTAACACTGTCCTAGTTAAGCTAAAGTAGCGGCTAACATTGTCCTAGTTAAGCTAAAGTAGCGGCTAACATTGTCCTAGTTAAGCTAAAGTAGCGGCTAACATTGTCCTAGTCAAGCTAAAGTAGCGACTAACATTGTCCTAGTCAAGCTAAAGTAGCGGCTAACATTGTCCTAGTTAAGCTAAAGTAGCGGCTAACCCTGTTTAGACGATGTGAGCTCACTGAGCATCCAGTGGTGTGTTTCCTGGTCAGACAGCGGTGGAGGTGTTCAGGAGGATGATCCTGGAGGTGGAGAAGATGGAGGCGGGTCAGCCGGCGGGTCGGACTCCCTGTTCCATGATGTAGCTCCAACACCGTCCGGCGCTGCAGGCTGGACAGAACCTCCACTGTTGGTCTCATGTTCTGGCCGGGTACACAAGACTCTGTTGAAAAATCTGTCGATTTAACGTTGTAACAACACACAACCCTGAGGCGTTGGGCCTCGACACACAAACAACAACAAGCACGGTTTTATTGTCTTCGTACAAACTGCACAACACACAGACAAACTCAGGATCATGTTTTGCTGAAGTTTTCAGACTGAACTGAGAGCTAGAGTCCAGAACATCTGCACCGAGCACAGCAGAGGTCGGTTAGCGAGCCGGGTTTGAAGTCCATTTTAACAATACGAATCCATTCAGTGTGTGTTTCTGTGAAGCTGAATTCGCTGTAAGACTACGAGGACTTGTAACGTGGATCGGGTCGAGTCACAAAGTTAACACAGCGGCTGATTTGCACGACAACCTTAAATGAACAGATTTTCAGATGGGGTTTGGTATGAGGTCTGCTTCCTATAACATCCGTGTGACTCGTGAACCAGAACCTATTCCAACAGAAAACCCTGCATGGACAAAGAAAATGCTGTTTTGATTTGAAGCATCTCTTCCAGAGTTTCATCCTATTTTCCTGGTGTTACATCAGTTCTATGTTTACAACCGATGAGTTGATCATGCTGCTACCTGACCTCCCTCAACTTCTAGATTTAAGAAATTAAAACACTTTTTTTATGTAAGAGGAACCGTTTGTGTTTTTATGATTGTCCTCATTCAAGCTGCTGTTTGGCTACGAGCTGCTGGTTGTGTGTCTTTGCTGAGGGTCAGTGAAGACCTGGAGGACCTTCAGCAGGACGCCGCCCAGCTTCAGGACCGGATCAGGTCCAAGGACAGTGAAGGGTCGACCACCAGACCAGCAGACCCACATTAGTGACTGGAACTGGACGACTGTCGGCTTGTTTGTTGAAAAATGTTCAGCAGTGAAAGTATTTGCAGCTCCGGTGCAGTTCCCAGCACCGCCAGCAGAGGGCAGCAGCAGACACGGCGCTGATCTGAAGCCAAGACAGAAAAACTCCAGCGTGATGGTTGAACAGGTTTGATGGAATTACTTTGTTTTATTTCAAGAAACAAAAACATCAATACTTTGTGCATTTATCGACAATGATTTGATCTGTTTCAGACACATTCTACAACGTCATGATCTCATGTGTTCATTTGTTTCTACATATTTATGTTTTACTATTCCTACGATACGTGTATTTGAGGTGAATACTTCTGTTAAACATATATAATCATTCATGGTACATCACCTACACACTTTATTTTGGTGCTTAACGGAACCAGATCCAGTGTTCAGACTGAGACACCCGGAGGGATGTGGAACTGATCTGGTGTCAGATTATAAAACAATAAAATAATTAAAATAATTATGAATATATGTGCAGAAAAATGTGCACATACTTCCTCTGCTTTCAAAGCGACATTATAAAAAATAAAAGAAAGAAAAAAAATTAAAATAAGTAAATAACTATTTGTATTTTATTTATTTGTCTTTATTTTATTTTTTTTTACTTTTTAAAAAATCCTTTTTCTTTTATGGATTCATTTTTGATTAATATCGCTTTATATTGCCCCATTATTTATTTTTAAATATATTTATTCTTCTTACTTCCAGTTTTATTTTATTTTTCTTTGATTTATTTTTGTAGCTCACTTTTGCACGCTCACTACTTTTTTGAGTGTAAAAATGTTTAACTGAGAAAAAAACCCTATAAAAAAAAAAGAGTTCAAGTTTTTAACTGTGTTTCTAAACAGTTCCCTGTTATTTACAGATGTTCTGGTTTTGTTCAATTATAGATAAAATCAGTTAAAATCAGTAAAAAATGTCTTAATTTACTCATTAACAGTAAAAAATAAGAAGAGCAAAACTCTGAATAATGTCCACTTTAAAAACAAACAGCGTTTCTTTCTGACAGCGTTTGATCATAAAATTAAACAGTTTTACTGTATTTAAATCAGAACCATCAATTAATTCAAAATCATATTAAGGAGTGAAACTAACAGTTATTTCACATATTTTAGTTTTGAGTCATTCATGAAACTGCAGAGAAAAAAAAGTCTAATTTACATCCTAACTGTGAAGAAAACGACTAAATAACGTTGTGCTCGTGTTTATCAGAACGTTAGACGGTAAAATAATCTGATGATAGAGTGAAAGATGCTGAACAACAGCTCCTGGTCTGTTCACTTACACATAAGATCCAGTAAAACCACTATTTACTGGTTAATAACATCGACATCATCCAGTCAGTCAGTCGGGTATCTGCTCATAAATCTGGATTGTTTCCCCCCCAGACTGAACCGACCCGGTTTATGGATCCAGTAACTGCTCAGCTGCAGAACACATCCTGCACATTAACACCAATCAAGGTGGAATCAAAGAGCAGAAGGTGCACTTTGTTTGTCTGCAGAAACGTGGTCTGTGCAGTATCATTGACCTGCAAAGCTGCCGCCAAGCACTTTCCATTGAGCCCACACACACACACACTCACACACACACACACTCACACACAGCGACACAGCAGAATCAGCAGACGGCCCAGATGAAGGGAAAGCGTCGAGGCAGCAGAATCCTTTGAAGCTGCTCCTTTGTCCGGCCGGCCGGACGGCGGCCGTGGCTCGGCGGCCGGCAGTATAAATTGTGGTGTCCAACTTTCTCTCTGTTACACTGTGTGTGCGGTTGTGGGTCAGGTTGGACGACATCCAGTGGGCAACATGTCACAGTACTCTGGAAAGGTGAGTCACCACAGCCGGGCCCGCTCGGCTCCGGTAGGTCAACCCATCAGCTTTCACAAATAACGTGCACAAAGTCCAGCTGAAACCGTCTGCGCTGGTTCTGGGTGGAGTCCTGTTTGTTCTGTTACTTCAGTCCACTCAGAGACTTTTAAAATGCAGCACGACTCTCTTCTGTGAAGCTTCCTCGTTCACCTGCTGGTTGGGCTGCAGGCGAGAGGTCCAAACGCTTTGACCGAGCTCCTCACGAACCCTCCGGTTTCCTTCATCCTGCTGAGGTTCAGGCGTCAACACAAACCAAAAAACTGTTTCTGGTTGTCTGTAGAACCATGACGTCACCTGCTGATCCTCAGAGCAGCCTGCTAACACCAGCTAGCAGCTCATCAGCAGCTAACACTGGCTACAAGTTGACACTGGCTAGCAGTTCATCACCCGCTAACACTGGCTAGCAACTTGTCAGCAGCTAACACCGGCTAGATGCTAACACTGGCTAGCCGCTCATCAGCAGCTAACACCAGCTACAAGCTAACAGCAGCTAGCAACTTGTCAGCAGCTAACACCAGCTAGAAGCTAACATCGGCTAGCAACTCGTCAGCAGCTAACACCAGCTAGAAGCTAACANGTCAGCAGCTAACACCAGCTAGAAGCTAACATCGGCTAGCAACTCGTCAGCAGCTAACACCAGCTAGAAGCTAACACCCACTAGCAAACCATCAGCAGCTAACACCGGCTAGACGCTAACACTTGCAAGCCACTCGTCAGGTTCTACAGGTTCTTCCTTTTTATTGGAAGTAACGCCCATCCAGCTCGTAGCGTGCTAATCTGTCTGACCAACAGTCGAGAACCCAAAATATCAAACCCGCTCTGACAGTAGGAACCCTGGCATCTGAGCATTCTTAAAACGGACTTTTTCCTTAAAGTTCCTTCCACGTCCTGTTGTCAAACTAGAACCAGGCCAGTCCTGGAACAACTGTCTGGGATGTGGTTTCCAAAAGAAGCTGTTTTTGTATCTTGGAGTACCGCTGATGTTCTGATAGGAACCGTTGTCTGATGGCCCTTTGACGTTCTTTGTTTGAAGAAATAGTTCTTTGGTGAAGGTTCTTTGTGGAATAAAAATGGTTCCACTACGGTATCGAAACCAAAAACTCACGATGGCTCCAGTTAGCAGCTTAATTATGAATGTAGAAGATCAGCAGTGGAGTGACCCCCTTTAGACAGGAAGAACCCTCTTCAGAACCAGACATCTGCCGTCACCTGTTGTTGTGAAGGGAGAAGACAATCTGTCTCAAACTCCCACAATGCTCTCTGCTGCCACCATGAGCTGTAGTCTGTAGACGCCTCCTCTGGTCTCTACAGGACTAAACAGGGAGAGGCTCCCCCTGGTGGAACAACCAGGTACTACAGTTGGTCTGTATTTACTGATATCATGGAGAGAATTCAGGTTTTCTGCCCTCTAACTCTACATGTAGACAGGGTTCCACCGGAGCTTTACAACGAGGTTCCACCCACAGAACGTTCAGGAACAGACAGCTGGATGACGGTTTGTTTCTCCTGCAGATCACCTTCTATGAGGGGAAGTGCTTCACCGGCAGGAAGCTGGAGGTCAGAGGTGACTGTGATAACTTCCAGGACCGCGGCTTCATGAACAGGTAACAGCCAAACTACCTGACGGTCCTCCTTCTGCTTTTCACAGAACAGTTCTAAGTCTGACGTGGAGAGCTTCTCAGAGCTCAGTCTGAAGCCATCTGAAGACACTCTGACAGTTTTCACCATTTTCTGATATTTCATTTTACAAACAGCTGACTGATGAATCCAGAACATAGTCACCAGATTGTTTTACAACCCAGTGACAGAAACAGGCCGAGCCAGAGTTATTAGCCCTGCTGGTGTCGAGCTTCAGGGAGAAACCTGCTTTGTGGTGCTGAAGCTGTGGTGTGCTTGCAGGGTGAACTCCATCCGTGTGGAGAGCGGCGCCTGGATCTGCTTCGACCACCCCGACTTCAAGGGCCAGCAGTACATCCTGGAGCACGGCGAGTACCCCGAGTTCCAGAGGTGGAACTCCCACAACGACCACATGGGCTCCTGCAAGCCCATCCGCATGGTGAGAACAAACGCTCTGCTCCTGTCGCATCGAACCTCCAGCGTGACCGAGTCTCATTACGTTCATGGTCCGCAGAGGATGAACCCCAACCCTCCCTGCTGTCCACCATGAGCCAAAATATGAGCTGAACACGAAGCCTTTTTAAAACCGAGCAGGCAGGTCATCAGTAAGAGGACGTTTTGTTTTTATCCCCAGAGGATGAACCCGGTGGTTTTGCTTTACTATGCACCCAGCAATAGCGAGTGGCCTTCAGCAGGTGGTCATTCAAACCAGACAGCGCTAATGAAGCGAGAGCATCTTCAACTGACAGAAGATCACCAGAAAGTTCTCGTATCTGTTGGAAACTAGAGTCCTGTTGAGCAAAACAGACGGAAGAAGAAAAGAATCTGTAGTTTTTATTTCATTGATCCAGTGGGTCAGATTTTCCTCCCAGTCACAGGAGGAAGGTTCTGGTTCTACGGGACCAGAACCAGGAGGAGGACGGTTCTGGTTATTGTAGAATCAGGTCCGACTTCTTACATACTTTGTCGTCCTCGAAGATAAACGAGTTTTGGACAGAGGTTCTACATGAGACACACATCCACGTATTCGCAAGCGGCTAAAATGTGGATTTTAAACTTGGAACATCTCAGTTGTTCTGTTTTCCTGGTTCTGATGCTTAAGTCCAGTTATTCAGTGTTTACAGTGAGCGCTAACGTTGTTGCCTCTGCTGCGCAGCACGGCGAGCACTACCGCATCGAGCTGTTCGAGGGCTGCAACTTCTCGGGTCAGTGTGTGGACATCTGCGACGACTGCCCCTTCCTGCAGAGCCGCGGATTCTCCAAGAACTGCATCAACTCCGTCAAGGTCTACGGAGACGGAGCGTGAGTTCAGCACAACATTCATTCAGTCCGGCTCAGAGCTGACGGCTGAGGTTCCTGCTCCCCAGAGGATGAACCCAGCTGATGCACTATCAGAACACTTGTTACACACTGAAAGCCAACTAGTCTAGATGCTTTCTGAGCTCATTCATGCTCCTCTGAGGAACAGCCCTTTACCCTTTCCTGACCCTGGCTGGTCTGGCTGTAGGCAGCTGCCTCCCTTCTGGTTAAACTGGGGCAACAAAACTGGTTTTTACAAACATGTTGGAAGCGACTCGGCCATTTACTTGGTTACCACAGTGACAAGTCCCGCCCCATCTGATATGTGATTGGTTGGCTGAAAAGTGAAGCAGTAATCATCAGAAATACCAGAAACATATTTGTGATAAGTCACAAGGAAACCTAACAAACTAACACCGACTGTAAGAACAAATACCGGCAGAGCTAAAGTTGTCAAAAGTGAAAGTGTTTTGGTGACAGCAAATGAACACAGACATTTGGGGAACCTCTGGTTGGCGTTTTACACATTTTATAGACCAAAGACGAAACTGATAAGTGAACAAACTGTTGCCTGATGTAAATCCACCGTTTCTTTCCTCCATCTTCAGCTGGGTGATGTACGAGGAGCCCAACTTCCGCGGTCGCATGTACATCGTGGAGCGCGGCGACTACTGCAGCCACAACGAGTGGCAGGCCCAGAACCCCAACATCCAGTCCATCCGCAGAGTCGTGAACTACTTCTAAACCCACATCCTCATCTGTGACTTTTACCGGCGCTGTAATCATGTACAATAAAGCCAGACTAAAATAAGAAAACAGGTTTTTTATCAAACACTTTCTGTGTGTGCGTTGTTTTGTGTGGCCAGACAAAAGTACAAACTCACAAAGGATGTGCAAACAACTTAGCTGCTATGTTAGCCTAGAGATGACTCTAGATGCTACTTTAGCCTAAATAAGACAACATAAACTTCCATATTAGCCTAAACACACTGATGTTAGCTCAAACAAAATACTACAAGCTGCTACGTTAGCCCAGAAATGACCTTAATCACTACTTCAAAAGAGGTTTAACATTCTTGAGCCAAAATAAAATAGTACTATGTGCAAAATTAGCCCGAACAAGCTAATGATAGCCAGAACAAGACATTAGCCTAAACAAAATAACCTAAGCTCCTATAATAGCTGAGCGATAACACCAGCTGCTACGGTAGATAAAAAAGGATAACATAAACTGCTATGCTAGGCCAAACATGATATCATAAGCTGCACTCTTAGCCTAGAGCTAACATTAGCTGCCACTTAAAGCTGCTATGTTTCCTAGAAATAACTTTAGATGCTACTTTAGCCTAAACAACACATCATGAGCTGCTCTAAAGATAATATTAGCCACTAGTTCAAGAGAGATTCAAGATTCTTTAGCCAAAATAAGAGTATATGATGTGCTAAACAACCTAACGATAGCTAGAACAAGCTAAGGTTAGCCTAAACAAGATAACACACGCTGAAGTATTAGCCTAAACACAAGCTGTTAGCCTAGAAATTACTTTAGTCTAAATAATTTAATCTGCTGTTAGCCTAAACAAGACGACTTAAGTTGCTACGTTAGCCTACAAATTGGTTTTGATGGTACTTTATCCTAAATACAATAAACTGCTACATTAGCCTAAACAAGACATCATAAGCTGATCTGCTAGCCTAAAGATAATGTTAGCCGCTACTTCAAGAGGGAAAATAAGATATTATATGGCACATTAGCCTAAACAAGCTGGTGATAGAACAAGATAAACATTAGCCTCAACAGGCTAACATACACTGTAATATTACCCTTCACAGGATAACACATGCTGCAATGTTAGCATAGAGATGGCTGTAGATGCTACTGTAGCCTAAATAAGATAAACGTGTGCGTGAGTCCAAACAGGACGTCATCGGCTGCTATCAACCTAGAAATGACTTTAGATGCGACTTTAGCCTAAACAACACGTGAGAAGCTGATTTTAGCCTTCGGTCCAGATTAAAATGGCAAAACTCAGACTTGTAAAATCTCAGATATCCTGGAGGTACTGAAGACTCTTCAGAACAATTCTATTTGTAGAAATGCAGCATAAAGGTTCCAAATGGGAGCACGTTTAAATGTGGCAACCACTGAACCTGGTCTTCTGTCCAGCCTCTCCTACTCCATTACAGCCAACGTGGTCTATAGCGCCACCTTCTGATGAAACCCTGTAGCCTAGCTTATCAGCTGCTTCGTGGAAACAAACCTGATTCGCAGTTTTTTTGTTTTATGTTTTGCGGCGCTGCTTTGCTTCAGGTTCTCTCTAAAGTGAAGTGAAACGCTGTGAGGCTGCGTCAGCGGCACGACGTCACGTTTTCACACAAACAGACTCAAAGAAAACCTTCATGGTCTTTATTGGCTCCACATCGACAGGAAACACAAACAGAAAACTTTGCTTGTCGCCGTCAGAACAGCAACAGAAACCCTGAAGCCGGGTCAGAAACGGGAGCAGACCTGTGACAAACGAGCTGCGAGTTCATTTAGAAAACAAGACGGATCCTTTCGAGTTGAAAAATAAATTCTTATCAAACTGAACATGGTTTGAACCCAAACCTCTTCACAGCATCACAACGAGTGTAACCTGAACTGAATTATTGCTGAACCACCTGGAGTGAAGAGGAAACGTGATCGTGTTTGAGGTGAAGCTGCTTCATGCTTTGGCACTTTGCTGTCGACTCTTCGCTGCGTGGCTGAAACAACGGCACTAATTAGGAACTGGACTGCCGTAAGTGAGTAATTAAAGGCCTGTGTCTCTGGGTGACGCTGCGACGCTGCTGGCTTTGGGACGGACTCAGATCCGCTCCCAGGTTCAGCTTTGGCTGTGCGGCGGCTCTCGGCTCAGGTAGGTCTTCATGGCGGCAATGAGTTCGCTCTCCTCCTCCAGTGTCAGGTCCAGGTAATCCTCCTCGTGGTGCGAGATGTCCTCCAGCACCTCGTTCACCAGCTCGGTGTCCTCTGAGGGTAAACCAAGGAGAGCTGCATCAGTGTACAACGCAGGTGGTTCCTCCAAACTCCTCATTGGTCGGGTTTAACCCTCTGAACCTCAAAACCCACCACGTCTTTAAAAGGCCCGGTACATTTTATTGAAGGTCTCCATTAATCAGAACTAGAAGCTGTAAAACCAACAGTGTTTGTCAGATGCTTAACTTTCAGAAGGTCCCTGAACGTATCCTCGGTGAGGTCAGGCTCCAAATTTAACGTTAAAGTTTTAATATTTATCAAAATCACGTCATTCTGCATCTCATTCAAACATTCATCAAACGCTAACTGCTCCATGGATGATCTAGACGTGTTGTATATAGGTTGTATATAGGTTGTAGACGTGTTGTAGACATGATGTTCATGTGCTGGTACCTGGGCAGGTGGACGAGGTGCTGGGTTCCTCAGAGGACGGTGAGGAGGAGCTGGAGGTGGATGGAGGGGTCAGCAGCTCTGCAGAGACGAAGCCTTGGTTGTCCAGCAGCAGCTGAGTCGCTGATTGGACGTCTCCACCCGTCAATCTGAGGGCCGCTTCAGAGGAGTCCCGCTCAAAACCCAGATACAGCAGCTGGAGGGACGGAAACATCTGGATTACAACATCTGGATGAACACAGCTGGATTACAACATCTGGATTACAACATCTGGATGAACACTGTGAGAACAATGACATTTATGTGAGTATGCTGAGAGAACACTATGAGAACCCTGTAAGAACCCTGTGTGAGCCCTGTGAGAACCCTGTGAGAACCCTGTGGGAACCCTGTGAGAACCCTGTGAGAACCCTGTG